TCAAATAAATCAAATATGCAATTATGAATTTCGAATCTTACAAGAGAACATCATGTTGAAGAGGTGCCATCGGTAAAAAGAAAGGCACGACCAGTCAACTTAAACTCGATTTCAACACGTAATTAGCCCGACTCAAGTCTAGAGGTAGCATATTGAATAGCGCTTTAAAAGATAGATGAACTGGATCAAATATCAATAAAAAATTATTAATTTTTTTTTATTCAACAATCACGGGTCAACCGTCCATGTTAAGATTGGGTATCCATAAATTACCCTTTAGAAATTGAATCCCAACCAATAAAGGATGAAGAAAAATCCTTGTCAACCAAACTATCACGTTGTTATTATTCAACAGATAAACAAAAATGTTTATGCATTTAATCAAAATTTACACGGCTTGTTTGATTTCGACAATTTCATGATTTGGTATAGGAGTTTTGAGGTGATATATCCTACAGGGGAAGACAGGAAAGGTTTTGGTGGAACAGGCAAAGCTTCAAAGCTTCCATGCAGCATCTCTAGCACCTTAGTCATTGATGGTCTGTCTGATGGATTTGTTTGGATGCACGAAAGACTCACTATTAATATCCTCCTTGTCATTTCTTCATCTTCTTCAGCCACAACTCTGTCGAGACTCAATTTTTCTTCTTTTTCAAGCTGCTCATAAATGATAAATCCATGACGGAAAGAATGTATCACTAGCATGACACACTTCCACAGAATTCTTTCTTCCCCCAACCATTTCAAGGACCATCATTCCGTAACTGTAAACATCAGAATTGTATGAAACCCCTCCAAAATTTCAACAAAATACCTCCGGAGCAGTGTATCCCACAGTTCCTCTAGCTCCTGTCATTGAAACAATGCTTTCCTTAGTTTTGCATAATTTTGCAAGACCAAAATCAGATATTTTGGGACAAAGGCTCTCATCTAAAAGGATGTTGTGGGGTTTTATGTCAAAGTGCAAGATCCTTGTATTACAACCTCGGTGTAGGTATTCTAGTCCTCGAGCAATGCCCACTACAATTTCAAACAGTGTCTTAATCTCAAGCTGATGGCTTCTTTCTACGGATCCTTGATGATAAATGAACTTATCCGGAGATCCACTGGTCATGAATTCATATATCAGAGCTCTTCTAGACCTTTCATGATAAACCCCTATTAGAGTGACAATACTGACATGAGAAGTTCTACTAATGCTAGCAACTTCATTGATGAATTCCTGTCCATCCCCTTTGGATTTATTGAGTACCTTCACTGCTATAACATGGCCATCTGGTAATTCTCCCTTGAATACACTGCCATATCCTCCTTGACTCAATTTCTCTGTGAATGAGTTGGTTAATTTCTTTATCTCTGAATATGAATACCTCTTGGGAGCAACAGAACCGAGTTCAACAATGAATGCTTCAACGCTTTCATTCTCCTTCATTTTCCAC